AGGGGCAGGAGATTGAATTCAATCTTGTGTCAATGATTTAATCAAGTACGTCTGCATAAAGCCCCAGTAAACACTCTGGACACTGAAGCTTGCTGAAGCTTCCTGGTTGGTGAGTACCTTCATATACCAGGAGGGTAATGTGCCCTGACTCCATGGGGAGAAGGTACAGAAGCTCTGCTTTAGGAACCCTCTCAGACTTTGCCTTATGTGCCTCTTTATTTGGCTGTTCCTGAGCTGTATACTTTATAATAATACTGTAATCCTAAGTATAGCACTTTCCTGAATTCTGTGAGGAACTCTAGTGAATTACCAAACCTGAGAGGTCATGGAAACCCCTGTATTTATAGTCAGTTGGTCAGAAGTACTTGACCAGTACTTGACCAGTTGGTCAGAGACCCTACTTGTGGCTGGCATCTTAAGTGAGGGCAGTCTTGCGGAGGACTAAGTTCTTAATTCCTGGGGTCTGCATCAACTCGGGTGGTTAGTGCCAGAATTGAATTGCAGTATACCCAGTTGGTGCCAGATCAGTTGGGGGTTAAAATGTAATACCACCACTACCACCACCACCACCACCACCACCACCACTACCTAAAGAATTATTAAATACTAGTTCCTTAAGAGCAAAACAAAATTACTTGCAATTCAGCCTTTTGTGGGGATGATATTATACAATTACTTTTAATGAAGGCTAATGGAGTTCTTAAATAAATGTAGAAAACCTATAATAAATTATCTGCATACTTCAAAACACATTTCCTTTCTGTGAAGAAGAAACTTAACCACTGCAAAGAAGAAACTTATTTTTATCCCCTTTGGCTCCTCTAACAATAAAATGAGATGATTTCAGAAACTGCTCTGGCAAAAATAACAGAAGCAGTAGACACCACAAAGGAGAGTCTATAAGCAAACTTCAACTGGTATGGAAATGAACAGCAATTCAAATGTTTAGAAATAAAGCCCATGTAACTTAGATCTGCATACTAGTATCTGTACCTTTTCTTCTAAAGTTAACTTTGATCATCACCAACTTCCATAAAACACTTAATTTGTGCCAGATCCTGTGGTAGGCATGTGGGACATGGGCATAGTCCTTACCCTCAAGGAACTCAGTATGAATCTCTGGCAAATAAATACAATATGATAAATACCACGACAGAAATGTTATACAGAGTGCCACGAGAGCACACAGGATGAGCATCAGACCCAGATACCAGAGGGAGCTTTCCCTCTGGGGTTAGCAAATAAGAGGAAGGAGGAGACAGAGAATTACTGGCAAAAGAATCAGGATACACAAAGCCTCTTGAGTTAAAGTAGCTCACTGAAGCTAGGGCATGAAGTTTGGGAGGAAATGTAGTTACAAGGTGACAAAGATGGAGCAAGAGAAATAAACAAAGATCAGACCATGAAAGGCCAGTATATGGTATTTACATTTTACACTAAAAACATTGAGGAACTACTAAAGGATATTAAGCTGGAGTGTAACAATCAGACTTGTATTTAAACAAGAAGGCTATGGTACACAAAAGGGATGGTGAAGGGCATTATCTTTTTTTTTTTTAATTTTTTTTTTCAACGTTTTTTATTTATTTTTGGGACAGAGAGAGACAGAGCATGAACGGGGGAGGGGCAGAGAGAGAGGGAGACACAGAATCGGTAACAGGCTCCAGGCTCCGAGCCATCAGCCCAGAGCCTGACGTGGGGCTCGAACTCACGGACCGCGAGATCGTGACCTGGCTGAAGTCGGACGCTTAACCGACTGCGCCACCCAGGCGCCCCGGTGAAGGGCATTATCAAAAGCAACTAAAGTAAGAGATGAGAGCAATAATTAAGGCAAGAAATGCTAAGGGCCTAGAGTAGGGAATTGGAAGTTAAAGACAGAAAGAAGGGATGAGTTCAAGAGACAGTAAGGACGCAGCATTCTGTTCATCCTCAACTCATCTGCAATTCATATGGGACACTGAGGAAGAAAGCAGAGTTAAGAATGACTTCTAGTTTTCTATTATTAGGTATATATTGATGTCATTCATGAAGAATACTAAAGTAAAAATAGGGTTGAGAAAAAATGATCAATTCTGTATGGCCATGTTGACTCTGAGGCACTTATGAAGCATCTAAGTAGAGACAACTAGGAGTAAGTTATAGACACAGGTCTGAGGGCTCAAGTGGCATGAACTATCCCTAATTCGACACTACTTATCACAGATTCTCACTGCCTTTAAGTATTCTTCTAATTTGTGAGGAAACACTTGAGAAGAGTTTTATAATTCAACCTTCTTAGAAATATGTAACCGGGTATCTATAACAACTAGTGAGCAAACACATGATTCTCTTTCTTTCCTAGCCAAGGAAAACCTAGTGCAAGAAGTTGGCATCTGAAATTTCTGAGCAAAACCTAGAAGGCTCTTCTTGGCTGTTTCAAAGAGTTTTACATGATGAAACTGACATCCAGAAATAACATTTGCCTATTCAACATAATTGAGAATTTACAATATGAAATGGAAGGCCACTGGGGACAAGGAACTTATCTATCTTGTTCACTGCTGTATCACTAGCAGCTAAAGGTGTGTTGCACACAGTACGCCGCTGAATACATATTTGTTGAGTGAATGAATTCCCTTTAGAAGAATGCTATAATGAGTGGATAATTGATGCCTGGTTAGGCAGGGTGTTAAGTAAGAGAAAGACTTTGATTCTCTAGAGAAAGTTAAGAGCTACTCCTTGAAGCCTCAAAGCCAAGAAACTGCAGTGTTGTCAATTCCTCAATGTATTGGTATAGTTCCTTACTACTTAGGAAATAAAAAGGATATTTGCATGGTTCTCCAAGTTCTAAGGACAAAGAATTTGCTCTAGATCATCTTCATGGGCTAAGACTACTTATTCAAACTCTACTATACAGGTGCTTGCTTCGGCAGCACATATACCAACTCTACTATTCAGTAACAGCAAAGTTTTATTGAACATATACTATGTTCCAATACCCTGCTAGATGCTGACGATACAAGATAAGACAGAATCTCTGCTCAAGGACCATCATGATCAAAGAAAGACTTATAAATAACTAAGTGGGATAGGGTGATGTGTTATAATAGAGGTATACAGACAGTGCAATGAAACTCATGAGAAAAAAAAAAAATTAGGCCCAGGAAGCTTTAAGAAGGTATTTAGAGAAGGAATGACATTTGGGTTGGGGCTTGATGGGTAGATAGATATTCACCAAACAAAAGAAAGACAAAAGGATATTCCAGGGAGAGTTAACAGCCTAAGTAAAAACACAGAAGTGAGTACTGTATACTACACTTGGGAAAAAACAAGTGATCTGGTGAAGCTAGAGACTGTAAATAACCAGAAAGTAGTAGGAAATAAGACTGGCAAGGTAGAGTGGGCCAAATTATAACAAGCTTATTATCTCATATGAAGGAGTTTCTATTATATCATATAAGCAATGAAAATTCACTAAAACTTTATCAGCAATCATCCACATTCTTTCTTAAGCTTAAATAAATGACATTCTAAATATAAACAAACCCAAAGCTAAAACTGTAGTTAAAAGTCTACCTGGGTACAGGCCTTTTATAAGAAAAATAATAAAACATTCTAGTTAATATCTTTGAGGTCTTCCCCTTACTTTTTAAGTATAAAGTTGTATATTACACAGCAGGATAACTCAGATTTTTACAATTTCATATTTCTGAAATACTTACGGGTTATTAACTGAATGTTTATGATTTTTCCATCCAATTTTTGCAAAATGTTCAACCTTTGTTCCTGTAGAGAAAACAAGTAAGTGCTTTCATATTGCTTATTAAATGTTGCAATGGTACACAGTGTCCTGCCAACTATTTCTGCATTTTCCCTTGCACAGATTGTCAATATTGATCATGTCAACAACTGATCCCTCACATAAATATTTAATTAAACTTGTGTATATTTCATGAGTTGAATCTACTAATAAGCACATGAATATGAATATGAATATGAAAAGCACTGAATATGAAAATAGTTCAAACTGGTTAATTCTAGCTAGTATAAGTAAGAGTTCAGTTTCAAAAACCAGAATATATAGCCTGGGATTCACAGTGGATATAAGGCAGGAAAGCACTGCCAGCAATTTTTTAAGGAGTTTGCCAAAGTATCCCAATGCCCCTGGGCTAAGTGAATTTTACAACCCACACCCTCCAGGACCTGGTCCTTCTCCTTCCTTATGAAAAAGCAGAAGAGTCTTTAGAAAAGTTATAACCTAGGGGTACCTGGGTGGCTCAGTTGGTTAAGCATATGACTCTTGGTTTTGATCTCATAGTTTGTGAGCTTGAGCCCCACATCAGGCTCTGTGCTGACAGTTCGGAGCCTGCTTGGGATTCTCTGTCTCCCTCTCTCTGTTCCTTCCCCGCTCATGCTGTCTCTCACTCAAAAATAAATAAATAAATATTTTTTAAAGTTTAAAAAAAAAGAAAAGAAAAGTTATAGCCTAACAAGAAATATGTATGTTTTTAAATTCTTTAACAGAAAGTTTAAAGATTAGTGTCAGAAAAACAAAAGCATGTATTAAGGAAGTTAAATACGCAAAAAGTTTTTACTACTTAAAAAAGACAAAGCAGCATAAGATAGGTTTTGAACCCTGCTTGAGAGCCAGAAAGAACAAGGAAGGAAAAGGAACACTGATAGCAGCTGATAATGTTATGTTAATAGATGATGGCACAGGAAAATGAAGAGCCCCCATTTCTGTTTCATCTCTATCATCTCTGTCAGGAGGATGATCTTCAGAGCAGAAATGACATTCATATAATTGAGCAAATCTTGTCTCAATTCTAATAAAAAAGGAAGAAGGCAGAATCCACACTAGTGATCTCATACAAAGAAGAGTGATAATCAGGTGGCAGCCAATATGGGTTCAGTAGGAACAAGCCATAGAAGATTAATACCTGTTTTCATTGGTTTGACTGGTAGATCAAATGAAACATAGTATCTGATTATCAGCAAGACAATTAAATTTTTTAGGACATCTTTTGGGACAAGGTAAGGAAATACTATACTGTGGGTTTTGGTTTTTGTTTGGGGGGGAGCACAATGATGTTACTTTAAAAAATGAGGATTCTGTCAAATACGTTTAGATAATACTGGGTTAAACAAAGTGAAACAGGTTTCTTTTTTTTTTTTTAATTTTTTTTTCAATGTTTATTTATTTTTGGGACAGAGAGAGACAGAGCATGAACGGGCGAGGGGCAGAGAGAGAGGGAGACACAGAATCGGAAACAGGCTCCAGGCTCTGAGCCATCAGCCCAGAGCCTGACGCGGGGCTCGAACTCACGGACCGCGAGATCGTGACCTGGCTGAAGTTGGACGCTTAACCGACTGCGCCACCCAGGCGCCCCGAAACAGGTTTCTTTATGGCAAGACATTCAGAGCCTTTACTATTATTATATGTGTATCATGACTGTCCAAAAGGGGGTTAAAGAATCTGAAGCATCTCCCAACTTATCTGACCCATGAAATAGAGAATCTTATCAGGTTACTGTCCCACAGAACACATATTGGGAAGCCACCAACATTGACTGATATAGGTTAACCTGCAGAAAAGTCTCTAGTACTAACCTCTAACCTCTGCCATGCTCTGGCTAATATGTCTACCAAAAATTGGATTAGAAAATTAAAGGCATGTTCACCAAACCTGAATGTGGGAAGGACTGCTATAATATTGAATCCAAATAGATTCAACAAAGCTTATTAATGGGATGGATCAGAATATATTCAAATTAAATGACCAATTCTATTCCTGGATCCCCAAAACAATCTGGGAAAAGGAGCAGCAACTATGAGAAATGCTCTGAGGTTCTGTTTGACTACAAGTTCAATATGATTTAATAGTGTGACGCAACTACAATAAATGCTTACATGTGATCCCAGTATCCACAATTAGACTTGTGATGATGAATTATGAAACAAGTCAAATGAGAACAGTTACACAGTTAAGTGAGAAACAGTTAAAAGGAAGTTAAGCACAAGGTCTGGCAGGTTTCAGATATTTGAAGAGCTACAGAAAGAGGCTCACCTCCTGTGAGCCTCAGAAGACAGAAACAAGACCATGGATGGAAACTATAGGGAGAGAGATTTGAGTTCAACATGGAAAAGACCGCTGTAACAACTGGAATCACCCAAAAAATGGAAGGAGTGACCATTGGTGGGACTAGAGTGATGAAAATGTTCGGTGGGACTGGAGTGATGAAAATGTTCTGAAACTAGAAAGTGGTAATAGTTGCAAAACTCTGAATATATTAAAAATCACTGAATTGTATACTTTAAAAGGGTGAATTTTATGGTATGTGAATTATATCTCAATAAAGCTGTCATTAAAAAAAGAAAATGAATTAAATTCCCAACTCAAAAACTAGAAAAACAACAACCAAAGTAAACCAAAAGAAAGCACAAAGAAGATAAAAGCAGAAAATAATTGCGGAAAAAATAAAAAGAGTAGACATAATCAATCAAGATCCTGTTATTTTGAAAAATTTAACAAAATAAGGGCACCTGGGTGGCTCAGTAAGTTGAACATCTGACTCTTGATTTCAGCACAGGTCATGATTCCATGGTTGCAGGATGGAGCCCCATATTGGGCGCCATGAGCATAGAGCCTGCTAAGAATCTCTCTCTCTCTCCCTATGCCCCTCTCCCCTGCTCATATGCAGGCTCTCTCAATCTCTCTCTCTCTCTCTCTCTCTCTCTCTCAAATTAAAAAAAAAATTAACAAAATAGACAACTACCTAATTTAATTTTAAAAAGGAGAAAGCAACGGGGCGCCTGGATGGCTCAGTTAGTTAAGCATCTGACTTCAGCTCAGGTCATGATCTCGCGGTTTGTGAGTTCGAGCCCCACATCGGACTCCGTGCTGGTAGCTCAGACCCCGGAGCCTGCTTCAGATTCTGTGTCTCTCTCTTTCTCTCTGCCCCTCCCCTGCTCACACTCTGTCTCTCAAAAATAAATAAACATTTAAAAAAAAAAGGACAAAGCATGAATATACAAACATAAAAAATAACAAGAGGGAAATATCATTGAAATAGAAAAAATTGTAAAATTGCAAAAGACTACTTTTCAGACTTCAATACAAAGATTTTGAAATCTAAATGAAATGAATAATTTCCTAGAGATACATAAACTACCCAAAATAACCTCAGTGAAGATAGAATATTTAAACATAAGGAAACCAAGCAACTACCAAAAAGGAAAAAAAAAACAAAAAACAACAACAACAAAAAAAAACAGGCCAAGATGAGTTCACAGGGAATTCTATCAAACCTACAAAGATTAGGTAATCTCCATGCTCCATAAAGTGTATCAAAGCATTAAAAGTAAGGAGAGGCTTCCTATTTCTTTTTATAAAGCAAGTATGAAATTAACATAAAATCACTTACAAATGTTGATTTGAAAGTACTATATAAAATAAAATAGTGACAGAATCTAACCCCACATTAAAAAAAAGTCAATACCTCACAACCAACTGGCATTCATTCGAGATATGCAAAGTTGGTTCAATACCAGGAATCCAGTAATAAAATATTCTAATAATAGACCGAAGTGCAATTAACAGAGGCTAGAAAAAGTCTTTAACAAAATTCAATACCCATTCCTGAAAGAAGAAAAAAAAAAAGAAAACTGATGGATGCTTTCTGAACACAACAAAATTATATATTATATATTATACTATATATATATATAATTATAAAAAATTTTATATTACATATCTTTTATATATATAAAAGATCCTGAGGCCATCAGCCAGCATCTTACTTAATGGGATAATAACATCTGCCGTATTGGATTGTTGTGAGAATTGAATAAGATAAGTATGGAAAGTCATTCATTCCTTCATTCATTCATTTACTCATTCAACAAGTATTTATTGAGTCCTTTCTGCCCACAGACGCTGCTGAGTAAGCATCATTAAAGTCTCCCCTCCCACTGCCATCATGTCTAAGTCAGAGTCTCCCAAAGAGCCTGAACAGCTGCGGAAGCTTTTCATCGGAGGTCTGAGCTTTGAAATAACCAATGAGAGTCTGAGGAGCCATTTTGAGCAATGTGGAACACTTACAGACTGTGTGGTAATGAGAGATCCAAACACCAAGTGCTCCAGAGGCTTTGGGTTTGTCACCTATGCCACTGTGGAAAAGGTGGATGCAGCCATGAATGCAAGGCCACACAAAGTGAATGGAAGAGTTGTAGAACCAAAGAGGGCTGTGTCGAGAGACAATTCTCAAAGACCTGGTGCCCACTTAACTGTGAAAAAGATTTTTGTCGATGGCATTAAAGAAAATACTGAAGAACATCATCTAAGAGATTGAATAGTATGGGAAAATTGGAGGGATTGAAATAATGACTGACCGAGGCAGTGGCAAAAAGAGAGGCTTTTCTTTTGTAACATTTGACTATCATGACTCTGTAGACAAGACTGTCATTCAGGGGCGCTTGGGTGGCTCAGTCAGTTAGGCGTTCGACTTCGGCTCAGGTCATGATCTCGCGGTCCGTGAGTTCCAGCCCCACGTCAGGCTCTGTGCTGACAGCTCAGAGCCTGGAGCCTGTTTCAGATTCTGTGTCTCCTTCTCTCTGTGACCCTCCCCCGTTCATGCTCTGTCTCTCTCTGTCTAAAAAATAAATAAACGTTAAAAATTAAAAAAAAAAAAAAGAGAGACTGTCATTCAAAAATACCATACTGTGAAAGGGCACAACTGTAAAGTAAGGAAAGCTTTATCTAAGCAAGAGATGGCTAGTGCTTCCTCCAGCCAAAGAGGTCGAAGTGGTTCTGGAAACTTCAGTGGTGGTCATAGAGGTGGTTTTGATGGGAATGACAAATTTGGCTGTGGAGGAAACTTCAGTGGGTGAGGTGGCTTCGGTGGCAGTCAAGGTGGTGGTAGATATGGTGTCAGTGGATATGGCTATAATAGATTTGATAACGATGGAAGCAACTCTGGAGGCGGTGGAAGCTATAATGATTTTGGCAATTACAACAAGCAATCTTCAAATTTTGGACCCATGAAAGGAGGAAATTTTGGAGCCAGAAGCTCTGGCCCATATGGTGGTGGAGGCCACTTTGCCAAACCACAAAACCAAGGTGGCTATGGCGGTTCCAGCAGCAGCAGTCGCTATGGCAGTGGCAGAAGGTTTTAATTACTGCAAGGAAACAAAGCTTAGCAGGAAAGGAAAGCCAGAGAAGTGACAGGGAACCTACAGGTTACAACAGATTTGTGAACTCAGCCACGCATAGTGGTGGCAGGACTTAGGTGCTACAAAGAAGACATGTTTTAGACAACACTCATGTGTATGGTCAAAAAACTCGAGGACTGTATTTGTGACCTGTACAACAGGTTATTTTAGTTTCTGTTCTGTGGAAAGTGTAAAGCATTCCAACAAAGGGTTTTTTTAATCATGACACTGAATAAACATGTCCTTTAAAAGAAAAAACACACAAATATTTATTATTTACATATGGTAGGGACTGTAGAAGAGAAAGGGGAAGAAAACAACAACGTTCTTCTATCTAGATTACATGCCAAGCACTGTGCTAGGCTGGATATATTGAAAGTAAACAAAACAGACATGGATCCTGCTTTCATGGAGTTTACAAAATAATGAGGAAGACAAAAATTAAACAAGTAAAACTACACACACACAAACACACACACACGTTTATATATATATGAATATAAATAGTGCTAAATGCTATGAAGGAAAGCAATTGGGGGCTATCTATGAATGAGAATAATAGGAGGGACCTGCTTCAATTTGAATGGCCACGGACAGTCTTTCTTTGGAGAATAATTAATTATAGAATACCTGCTTTGTGCCAGACACTGTTCTAGGTAACAAGAAATGAACAGGGAATAAAACAAAAGTGAGTGGCCTTATGGAACTTAGATGCTAGTTGGAGGAGACAAGCAGTAAGAAAAAATATATATGCCAGGTTTTATAAGTGTTATATAAAATAATTCAAGAGGAGACACAGAGGATAGGGAGTTCCAGGAAAGAGGGTGATCAAAGAAGCAGATGACAACTTTTAAGCAAAGACCTGATGGAAATAAAGGAGCTAGCACCAATGATATCTTAGGGTAAAGCATTCCAGAAGTGGAAACAGCAAGGCCCTGCCTCAAGCAGGAATGTGTTCACTGTTTTCAAAAACAGAAAGGATAATGTGGCTGGAGTAGAGTGGTGAAAGAAAAAAATGGTAACAGATAAGGTCAGAACACTAATGAGGGTGGGGGAGCAGATCGTGCAGAAGTTTGTAGGCCACAATAAGACGTCTAAGCTTCAATCTGAGTATAATGAGAACATATGGAGAGTTTGAGCAGAGGAGTGAACTCATCTGGCTTATATTTTAAACACATTGCACTGAAGCAGGGTTTAGACTGTTAAGTGCTGATATAGCTGATATAGGATATAGCTGTTAAGTGCCGTGTTGTCACTCCCCCTGCTCAAAATAAAGTTGTTTCTTAACTATACCTGTTTGTTATACTCCTGTGACAGCAAGGGACACTTGGTCTCATACACATCAATAAAATTAAATACTGATTTGAATGGCAA